TCTTAGAGTCAGCCACAGTTTGTTATGATCCACACAGTCAAATGCCTTTGCATAATCAATGAAACACAGATAGACATTCTTCTGGTATTCCTTGCTTTCAGCCAAGATCCATCTAACATCAGCAACAATATCCTATGATATAGGTCCTATTATTATTTCCACTTTACAACAGGGAACAAAAGGCTAAGCAAACTGTCCAAGTGAGTGGAGCCAGGATTTGCGTAGTTAGGACACTTCACGGTTTACCTATTGGCTGGCTTGATTATTGTTCATCCCAAGCTCTAAGCTCCTGGATGTGAACACCACATCTTCCCTAACCTTGTGTCTCTGGTGTGATACCAAAAAAACCCAAAGCTACTTGCAAAACCAGCTTGAAGCAGCCATAAGGGACACCCTCCCCAGTAGGGTTTTTAAGGCTGTAGGTGTTCACAGAGGCATGCTATCACATCTTTATCCCCTGTTGCTACTGGTGAGGTCAAAACCATGGACCTTTCTAGTTAGCTACTGGGTGTTTTAAACACAGTGCCACCAGGGTGAGGCATGATACATGTTGGTCAGTTAGTGATTGATTGACAGTGTAATTGAAAGAACACGAAAAGGTTTAGTAGCAGTCGCAAAGCCATGTTCAAAACTTAAAGTTGGTGTATACCTTTTGAAAGAGACCTGTTTGGGGGTGATTATGTTCTCCTGAACTTTATTTTTTTTTAACTTACATAATTAAAACCATTCCTGCATTCTTGATTTCTTTGTATAGGTCCTTATTTCCCAGTGTTATTCTCCTTCAGTCTGAGGTACTCTTATGAACATTTTTGTAGAGCAGGTCCGCTGGCAACAAGCTCTGTCAGATTTGTCTTTTAGACATAAAGGTCTATTTCACCTTGAATTTTTAAGGGTATTTGCGCAGAATACAAGGCTGATACATGTTTTTCTTTTAGGATTTGCATAGTTTCTGGTGAGGAGACAATGACTGTGCTTATCTTTGTTCCTCTGTAGTTAGTATTTCTTTCTTTCTTTTTTTTTTTTTCTTGTTCTGGCTACTTTTAAGACTTAACCCCCCTCTATGAGTTGTTTTCAGCGGTATGGTTATGATGTCCCTTGGCATTGTTTGCGCTCTGTTTATGCTCCATTATTTCATCAAGCTGCTCTCTTGAGTCTGGGATTTTATCGTTTTTATCCGATTTGGAACATTTCAGCCCATCTTCAGATCATTTTTTCTTCCTTCTTACATCTTCTGGGATGCTTTTTACAGGTACATAGTTAAATAAAGCAGTACTGTCCCAAGTCATTGAGGCTCTGTTTATAACTGTTTATTTGTTTATTATCCATCCCTTACACCCCATGCTTTCATTTGGATAGCTTCTGCTGCTATATTGTTGTTGTTAAGTGTTCTATGGTTGACTGTGACTCAAAGATCCCTCTGGACAACAGATCTAAACCTTGCCCTATCCTGTGCTGTCCTCATGATCTCTCAAATACTCCCACCCATTGTTACAATTAGTGACAGAAGAACTGATGCTTTTAAAATGTGGTATTGGAAAAGAATACTGAACATGCCGTGGACAACCAAAAGAACAAATAGATATGTCTTGGAGAGGATGCAGCCTGAATGCTCTTTGGAGGCAAAGATGATGAGGCTTTGCCTTACATGCTTTGGGCATGTTGCTAGGAGGGGCTATTCCTTGGAGAGGAACATGATGCTGGGAAGGGTGGAGGGTCAGCGAAGGAGTGAAAGACCCTTGACCAGGAGGATTGACATGGTGACTTCTGCAATGGACTCTAGTATGTCAGGATGTATGAGGAAGGCACAGGATAGAACAGGATTTAGACCTGTTGCTCATAGGATTGCTGCGGGTTATACTCGGCTCGACAGCACCTAACAGCATTGTTACCGTCTTTATGTCAGTGCATCTTGTTGATGGTCTTCTTTTCTTTCTCTGACCTTCCACATTTATATTCTTTCAATGACTGACCTCTCCTGGCTACATCCCCAAAGGGAGTGAGACGTAATTTCACCAACTTTGTCTCTAAGGAGCAGCCTAGTTGCATTCCCTGGAAGACAAACTTGTTTCTTCTTCTGGCAGTCCATGGCATGTTGAGTAATTCAAAAGCAGCAATTATTCTTCTGTCTTTCTTACTCATGGTCTGTCTTTCATATCTATATTACCCAATAGATAATATTCTCCTGTAATATCAAGTGTGCTATCAAAGCCCTACAGTGACATTTTTATTTCAGATATTATATTTTTCTTTTTTTCTTTTTTCATAATAACATCAATGTTTTTATTGATAGGGGTTCTAATTATTCCTCATATTTCCAATGCTTTGTATCTGTCCTGAATAACTTGGCTGCAGTAGTTGCAGTGAAAGGACAAAGATGAGGCAATTTGTTT